CTGGATCCTTCCCTTCTCCAGCCTGGCCATTCCCAGCTCTCCCAGCCTGGAGCCAGAGCCTGACATTGGATCCATCCCCAGCCCAACTCCTCTCTGGGAAGGAGTTCCGGGAACAAGGGGGGGTTCCCTGGGAATCTCGGCACTCAGGGAAGGGGCTCCCTTCCCCTTTCCCGCCTTTTCCATCCCCACATTCCATAAAGATCACACTAAACAGATTCTAAACTGAGTGTCCTTTATCCTGGAATCCCGGGTGGGAAGGGAACTTAAAGCTCATTTAATTCCACCTGGATCAGGGACACCTCCCACCATCCCAGGGCTGGATAAGGGCACATTCCCCCGTTATCCCAGTGCTCCAGAGCTCCCACACTCACGTCCTTCTGCCGGTGGAAGCCGATCTGCCCCACGTCCATGTCCGCCGTCTTCTTCAGGTTGGTCCAGGGTGTGTAAACCACGGTCACGTTGTTCATCTTGCACCCTGGGCAGGGGGAAACACAGCCTGGCCCTGTGACCCTGTCCCTGTCCCAAACACCCCTGGCCCTGTCCCTAACACCCCTGTCCCTGTGACCCTGTCCCAAACACCCCTGTCCCAAACACCCCTGTCCCAGACACCCCTGTCCCAGACACCCCTGTCCCTGTGACCCTGTCCCAGACACCCCTGTCCCTGTGACCCTGTCCCAGACACCCCTGTCCCAGACAGCCCTGCCCAAACACCCCTGTTCCTGACAGCCCTGTCCCTGTCCCAGACAGCCCTTGTCCTTGTCCCTGTCCCAGACAGCCCTGTCCTTTTCCCTGTCCCAGACAGCCCTGTCCCTGTCCCAGTCAGCCCTGTCCCTGTCCCAGACAGCCCTTTTCCTTGTCCCTGTCCCAGACAGCCCTTGTCCCTGTCCCTGTCCCAGACAGCCCTTTTCCTTGTCCCTGTCCCAGACAGCCCTTTTCCTTGTCCCTGTCCCAGACAGTCCTGTCCCAGACAGCCCTTGTCCCTGTCCCTGTCCCAGACAGGAGCAGCAGGGCAGGGACAGGGACAGGGAGGAATCCCGGGCTGTCACTCCCCACCGGTGGAGCTGCAGCTCTCCCCAGGGAAAGGGGCTTTTCCAGGGACTGATCCCACGGAAGGAGGCTCCGAGGCCCATTGGAACACCAGGGATTCCAAATCCCTGTTTAGGAGGAATTCCGAGCGACATCTGCTTCCCTAAAAACCCCCGGGATTAACAGGGAAACGTCCCAGCACCCGGATCCAGGATCCAAGGGTGGAACCAGAGCCCCTGCCCAGCTATTTCCCGGGAATCAGGATTACCTTGGATGCTGTTGGCCTTCACCAGGTGGGCACAGTCTATCAGCACCTCCTTGGGAATGTCATCCACTGTCTGGCCCTGCGGGAGAGCAAGGACAGGTCGGGATATCGGGATCATCCCTCCCTGGGCTGGAATTCCCAGGGAAGCCCAGCCTGGATGGGGTTTGGAGCGTCCTGGAGCAGCGGAATTCCCAGAGGAGGGCGAGTTCTCCCGGGTTCCAGGCCAGGCTCACCTTGTGCAGCCGCAGGTAGACGTGGGCAGAGGAGAGTTTATCCACGTGGAACCTGTGGAATCAGAAGGGACACGGAACAGGGATTATCAGGGAACGTTCCTGTCGCTGGGATACGGGAAAAAACACGACCCCCTTTTCCCCTCCTTTTCCCTTTCCCTTTCCCTCTGTAAGTGCCAAAATGCTCCTTTTCCCTCCCAAAATCCTCGCCTTTAACCAAGACTCAGCCCGGAAAATTCCAAGGGGCTGATCCCAGTCTCTTCCCAGCTTTTCTCGAGACTGTTTTTAACCCACTGGGAATTTTTTCCTCCCTGCTCCAGGACAGGAAAACCCCCAGGAGTCAACAGCAGGTCCCACTGCCACCTCCTGAGCCTCCCAGCCCAATCCCACGGGATCATCTCCCAGGGAATTGGGGCTGAGAGGGGCCAGACACCCTCGGGAGGACAATTCCCAGGGTTTCTTTGGGAGAGGACAGAAGTGGTTGATGTGGCCTTGGGATACAAAAAAATCCCGTGGATTGTGTCTGTGTGGGAAAGGGGAGGGAGAGGGGGAAAAGGGATGGGAAAGGGGGGTGGGAAAGGGGCGGAAAAGGGGATGGGAAAGGGATGGGAAAATTTGGGAGGGAAGACAGAGAAAAGGGGGATGAAGAAGAGGGAAAAGGGGGAAGGGGAAGGGAAAGGGGGAAAAGAGGGATGGGAAAAGGAGGAAAAAGGGGAGGGAAAGGGGGAAAAAAGGGAGGGGAGAAGGATGGGAAAGGGGGAAAAGGGGAGAGAAAGGGATAAAAACAGAGAGGGAAAGAGAGGGAAAAGGGAGAGGGAAGGGGGGGAAAAGGGAGAGGGAAAGGGAAGGAAAGGGGGGAAGGGAAGAAAAAAGGGGAGGGAAAGGTGGAAAAGGGAATGAAGGGGGGAAAAAAGGATGGGAAAAGATGATTTGAATGGTTCAGGAAATTCGAATCCCAAGGACATTCCTAAATAAAGGTATGGCCATAAATTATTGAGGAATGGGATAAACCTGAGCCAGGAAAGGAACACGATACAGGAACTGGAAAGGCTTCCCAGCTCAGGGAGAAGCTGTTCTGCTGGAACAGGGAAAAATATTCCCTGGGAAAGGGATATTTGAGCGCTGAGTG